TTGAATCCGTCATAGTGGATCGAATAATTTGAAAAATAAAATTTTAACATTAGATTCGTACACTCAGAAAAAAATTTGTTCGAATCAACCAAATTTTGGTTGAATCAACCAAATAAATGCATTGCTATACAGTCAACCAAACGTTTGTTTGATTCAACCAAAAAATTTCATCCAATACGTTTATTTGTATTAACCAAATGCTTATTACACTTAACCAAAAAATTTTATTTAATATAACTAAAACATTTGTTTATTTCAAGAGAAAAGTTTTGTTTGATTCAAATAAATAGTTTTAGTAAACGTATTTGGTTTATTTAAATAAATATTTTTGTTTACTTAATTTTGTTATTTATTTTCCTCTAATAATATTTGAATTTCCTAATTTAATATTTTCTAGTACGTATTATTGGTTAATTTATAATTTATTATATAATTATTGATATGTTAAAATTATACATATAATAAATTATAAATTAACCAATAATATGTATACTAGAAAATATTAAATTAGGAAACTCAAACATTATTAGAGGAGAATAAATAACAATTAAGTAAAATATTATATATGTATTTCTTCATATAAACAAAATTACTTAATTGTAAAAAAACATTTGAAATATTACATTAAACATATTATAATTATGATTTTTATACGTCCACTCAGAAAAAAGTTTATTCGAAACAACAAACTGAAAACTTCACAAAACCTTTTTGTAAATATTCTTCTCACTGGTACAAATTAAATATGCAGTAAGTCAATGAACACAAGGTATTTAATATTTATTTAACCGACACTTATAATTTTTTTTCTTTGATTTACCGATTTAACAAATAAATTTGACGCGAACGCGGACTGTAGACAAGTGAGATCGCCATTTTTAAATTCACACATGTACAAAATTGTTTTATCGTGACAAATAAAATAGGTTAATTAAACAGTTTGGTTAAGTGAAATAAACTTTTTCTCTGAGTGTAAATAGCGCTTCCAAAAATCGCCCTTGACGTTGTTTTAGAATTTTTACTTTAAAAATGTAGAAAATCAAAATTTTGAACCCGCCATATTGGATCGAAAATTTGGAAAAATTAATTTCTGATATCAGATTCATGATGAACGATCGAAAATAGCCCCGAGTAAGTAATTTTTTTGAATTTTTGACAACACTTATGTGTTAAAACCTTGGATATATTGTGGTGCATTTTTATGACCCACTTTAATCATCCGCCATTTTAAAAATTTTTCAAAATTAAATTTTTGGCAAAGTGCTATCTTATAGTGCAGCTAAAAATGAAGGCAAATGTGACCTGGAGAATTTTTTGCATTAAAATTAAAAAAGTTATTAATTTTTTTTTAAAAAGTGCATTTTTCCTATGTATTTTTAATGGGAAATTTCGATGGATCTCTGGCACGTGTTAATATTAATCAATCGGCTTCAAATTTTGGGAAATTTTTTTTTATTTTATTGGAACTAAACTGGGGGGTGGCGTAAACAAAATTCGAAAGTCGCATTGTTACGGACACCCTATTGTGCACGTTTGTACGCTCGCTTCATATTCCGCCTCGCTACGGAGTTTAATTCCGCGGTACGCGCTCCCACTAAAGTCGCAATATCTCGAGAACTATTAGAGTCTCCATAAATTTTTTTTTATGAAATGAAAGGTGAAATTACAAGGAATCGATATTTACTTATTAGAAAATTCAAAAATTAGGCCAACTGAACTAAAAATTAATTCAAAAAATTTTTTTGACTTTTTTTTTGACAAATTTTGGAAATTTTTTTTTGTTCATAATATCAAATTAAACTACGTATTTTTAACTATATCGCCTGTAAATTTTATTAAAATCGATCAAAAAGTTTCAGAGTTATTAATTTTTGAAAAAAACGCAACACTCATTTTCAATATGGCGTAGCGGCCGCCATTTTGAAAATTTTTCAAAATCCTTTTAGGGTTAATATATTTAATTATCACTTCAATGTAAACGATAGTAAACAGACATAGGAGAAGTGCGCTAATTATTGCTGCGGATGCTTTAATTTCTGCGCGTTTGTGAAATAAATCATTATTTATCACTTAAGAAAATAATAATGTTTTAAAAATGTTGAAAAAATTATTTTGAACAACTCTTAATACAATTTTCTTTAAAGATATACATTTAAAATAAAAGTACTTTATTTTAAGTTGCTGCGGACAAAATGATATCTAAATGCATATTATTTTGGCCTCAGAAACTGAAGGCGCTCGCACAGCTCTACTGCCTGCAGGTAGTCATGGTAACACATAAGAGTAAGAGAGTCAGAAAATTCAAATTAAATGTTTTTCCTCCCTTACTCTCATTGCTCCTGCCTGCGCAGGCAGGCAGGCAGTAGAGGTGAGAGAGCAGAGCTGGGTAAAATGGTTTTTCATATCTATTTAAAATACAAAACGCCAAATAGGTTCATAAAACCTATTTAAAATGGAAAATGATTTTCTGTTTCTTATTTAAAATGAAAAATGCAAAATGTGTATTTGAAATAGATTAACATAAAATGCAAAATGGTTTGTTTTAATTTTTATTATAAAATATGTATTATGTTGACAGTTTCAAAATAAAATACCGTACCACGGTCAAAATTGTAAGTCCAATTATTATCAAGGAAATAAAAAAAGTTTTTAAAAATAAAATTTATGAAAACTAAAATTTGTTTCGACATATGGTTTGAAAGATAATAAAATTTTGAAAATAATAAGACCTTACAGAAGTAATTTGGCCAGTATTTTATTAGATATTTTTAAATAAAATTGGACAAGTACTCGCACTGCAATGGTGGGTTCCGTACACAAATATTAAAACAATACTTGCAACATTAATCGGTAATTGGTAGAATTAAAATAAGCAATTAAAAAAATATATTAAAATCATTTGATAAAAAAATAACTAAAAAAATTTAAGTATTGTATATATCTAATATTGTAAACAATAACAAGCAGAGAAACAAAATTTTCAAAATTATAGTTCCACTGCTTATTATTATTGTTTACAATATTAGATATACAATACTTTAATTTTTTTTTAGTTATTTTTTTTTATCAAATGATTTTAATATATTTTTTTAATTGTTTATTTTAATTCTACCAATTACCGATAAATGTTGCAAGTATTGTTTTAATATTTGTGTACGGAACCCGCTATTGCAGTGCGAGTACGGGTACACTCACACGATCTCATGCAAAACTGCAGGTTGCCATGGTAGCGTTCAAGAGTGAGAGAGATAGGAAATTATTTTATCTCTCTCACTCTTGAACGCTACTATGGCAACCTGCATGCATAAGTTTTGCATGAGAAGGTCTGAACGCTCCCTACAACTCGCACTTGTCCAATTTTTTTTTATTATTTTTTTTTATTTTTTTTAGTTAAGAAATTCAAGTCAGAAAATAATCTCTTATTTATTCTCTTAAGAAACTTCACTCTTCCTTAAAATATTTAATGCCACGTGTTTAAACTAAAAAAAATTAAAAAAATTTTTTTTTATTTTTTTAAAAAAAGTTTCTTAAATAAATTTTTTGTTGTCAGACTGTAATAATACACTACGATAAACCAGCATGCAAAATTTCAGCTCTCCATGTCGAATAGTTTAGAAGTTAAGGGGGGGGAATGGTCACTTTTTATGCATTTTGGCCAAAAATTTTCTTATTTCCTTGACAACGCTATGACCATCACATCCAATCACATGCGCTATATTTTTACTGTAATCTACGAGTGAAAATACATATCTGGACCAAATTTGAGCTCTTTAGGTCAAATAGTTTAGCTGCTAGGGGGGGGCACGATTTGGCTACGGACACAAGAGTCTCACTAATAGGGTTCCGCCGATACACCGTAGGTGTACGGAACCCTAAAAATAATAATTTTCAATGTTTTACAAAAATTTGAATAACTTCTAATGTAATTAACGCTATTTAATAATATTAAGCTTATTTTAAAGGTCATTTTTTACAGAATGAGGATTATTTATAGTCATTAACGTATAATTTTTTTCTTTGAAAATGCAGGTCGTCAAAGTTAGACCAAAAAAATTTGAAACAATCTTTTGAACAGAAAAATAATTTTTAAAATTCAAACATATTTTTTTATTAAATTTTCTTAAAAAATCTACACCATATCATTGAAAATTATTATTTTTTAAAAATATCTAAATAAAATACTGGCCAAATTACTTCTGTAAGGTCTTATTATTTTCAAAATTTTATTATCTTTCAAACCATATGTCGAAACAAATTTTAGTTTTCATAAATTTTATTTTTAAAAACTTTTTTTATTTCCTTGAAAATGGATGGACTTACAATTTTGACCGTGGTACGGTATTTTATTTTGAAACTGTCAACATAATACATATTTTATAATAAAAATTAAAAAAAACTATTTTGCATTTTATGTTAATCTATTTCAAATACACATTTTGCATTTTTCATTTTAAATAAGAAACAGAAAATCATTTTCCATTTTAAATAGGTTTTATTAGGCTGGAGTCCCATGATAGCGTTTTGCGTTGCGTTTTGTAACTAGGCAATGAGTGCAAATAGAGCAAACCTATATCTGTATCTCTCTCACACTCATGGCCTAGTTACAAAACGCAACGCAAAACGCTGCCATGGGACTCCACCCTCAGAAACAATTTGAAATTCCTACAGACCCCCTACAAGGAATATGCTTGCCGAATTTCAAACTGTATCTAAAACTTTTTTGGCATTGGGAAGGAATCAAAGTTGAGATTAAAAATTTGCTAGAAACAAATAAGTCTTAATATTTCGTTCGAAATAAATAAAGATACATTATACAGGTATGCTTTCCAAATGTTTTTAAATTTTTAGCTCCATTTTCGACGTTTATCTCAGTTTAAAGACAGTTGTATTTTTAATAATATAGTTAATTAAATCGATCTATGGATGGGACTGTATTATGTAAAGTCAAATTAATATTGCAATAACTTTAAATGCAACACTGTATTATATGTTTAATATAGAGGAGTGTATTTGGAGGTTCAGCTTGGACTTGGAATGAGCAACGACAAGCATTTTATCTTCACCAATTTGGAATAACTCAGCCTGATTTAAATTATAGAAATGAAAAATTATCTGATGAAATGAAGGTTAGTATTTCTTTGCCTTAAGATAAAAGTTTCCTGTCAGTATACTAACAGAAATACACCCCTCTCGGCAAGAAACTATGTTCGTTCCCAAAGCGTTCTTAAAACGTTTTCAGAACGTTTTATGTCCGCTAAATGATGTTTTAGAACATTATTTGAACATTCATGTTCTTATAAAATGTTTTGGATCAGTATTTGGCTGACATAAAACGTTTTAAATATACATTTTAAGACTATTTTTGGAATGGACATGTTTTTTTGCAGATATGGATAAAAATAATAACACCCCACCGCCCTTGAATCCCACCCCTAACTCCTAACTTATTAGATACTGACTTCAGTTTTCAACAATCAAAAAAATAATTTTTACTATCATTAAAGGACAATTATTTTATTATTTTCTCATATAACATAGCATCTAGTTACTACGAAAAAAAGGCATAGTAATGAGTTAGAGTAAATTATAACAGGAGATATTTAAAAAGATAACTAACAGAATTCTACTTTACGGAAGTGATTATAGTGTCAACTTTTTCAAGTTTGACACTCCTCATAGTAAATTTGATCATTCTTTTTTCTCAGTGTCCCAGCTGAGTTTTCATTTTTTGGTAATTCAAATCCACCATGCCTCTTAATTATATAATTCAATTTCCTTACGTCTAATGTTGCAAAACTGATATTTATATTTAACTTATTGTTGTAGAATATTTTACGTTTTTGGATGGACAAAGGAGTCGACGGTTTTCGAATAGACGCTACGCCATACATTTTTGAAGATGAGAGATTTTTAGATGAACCATTATCAGGCATATCGGATATGAATGACTATGCTTATACAATTTCAATATACACTAAAGATCAGCCTAAAAATTATGAACTAATGAAAGAATGGCGAAAAGTAGTAGATAATTATTCCGATAAAGTTGATCACATACCGAGAGTAATGATGGTTGAAGCTTATGCTAATATATCAATGACTATGAAATATTATGAATCAGGAATTAATTTTCCATTTAATTTTATACTAATGGATATAAAAAATTCTTCAACTGCTCAAGATATTAAAAATATTGTTGATCAATGGATGTTGAATATGCCTCAAGGAGCAACTTCTAACTGGGTGGTAAATATGTTTGGAATATATTCAAAAAATTTAAATTATTTCACCGTAATATTTTACGATTTTTATTAATCTTCATTGGCGAATTTTTTATAGCTTTTTTATGATTCTGAACAATCAATCGAATGGATATTTTAAAATTTACATTAAAAATGATGATGTAAAGTGTAAAAAAATGATTTTTTAAACTTTTCAATATATTTTAAACAAAAATTCTTTAAATACACAATATTGCATACATTTTATATGTCTGGGGGTGTGTAAGTAGTAAAAAAATTGTTTCTAAGATTACCAATTGCTACGACCAAATTATATAAACAATTACACTCTAGGCCAAGATATGATTAAAAAAATTTGCTTGTTTTATAAATTTTTTAACGATTATTGCGCTTAAATTTTCTTTTAATAAAATTGATGTTTTGCAATAATTTTTCCTAATTATTTGAACAATATCAATAAATAATTGAATCGTACGGACATTTTTGGGCAGAAATTAATCGATTATTTTATAAATTTTTTGTGTAATTCATTGAAATTTTTAATTGTATATCATTTATTGAAGAATATTATATGAACTTTCGAATGGTACATTTGTTAATTTTCTGTGATTAATTTTTACAGAAAAATCATTATTTAAAGATTCTTTTTTTTTGGACCACTCGCGTGGAGTCGTACCAATAATAATAATAATAATGTAATATGTATATAAATATTATGTTGTTTCTTAGACTGGCAATCATGACAATCCCAGATTAGTGTCTCGAATTGGTCTTCATAGAGCATTAGCAGTAACTACAATGGCTTTATTACTTCCTGGAATTAGTGTTACTTACAATGGTGAGGAAATAGGAATGGTTGATACTCCTATTAACACAACTGATCCATCAAGATTCCGAGATCCTGTTCGATCACCTTTCCAGTGGGATAATTCTACTTCAGCAGGTAATAAAAATTTAAATATTAGAATAAAATATACGAACATAAATTTCTGCAGGAATTTCAAGGAATTGCTCTCGTAAATAAAAATATATGAAGGGTGGAATGATAAAAGGGGTCAGCCACAATTTTTCGAAATTAAGATTTTTTTAAAAAAATAAAGTAAATTCATTTACACAGTTCTGTAAAAGGATTTTCTTGTAAATTGTGTTTTTAAACTCGTTTTTAATAAAAATAAGAATAAAAAAATAGCCTAAATTTCTACTGACAATGCAATTCAGTTAAAAAACAAAAGAATATAAGGAATATTTTTAACCACATTAGGTTAAAAATATTCCTTATTTTTGGTATTTTATTAAATATATATAATATATATATATATAAGGGCAATTCCACGCAAGATTTACCTATGACCTTGAGAATTCGGTTAAACGTATTTTTTTCTCAATCTATATGGAAAAAAAAGAAATACGTGTTTTTTTATTTTTGTTTAATCGCCCAAATTTTCGAGTTATGAATTTTCGAAATTTTGGATTTGTAACTGTAGACATATTTTCAGTAGCTTATAAGTCTGAAAATATTGAGTTTAGAAAAAACTTGTCAAGGAATGAAAGTTTTAGTTTTCTTTCAACTTTTAAGAAATAAAAAAAAAAATTTTTTTAAATTTTTTATTAAAAAAAAATTTTTTTTTTATAACCCAAATTAATTTTTTTTAACTTTGGACCCTTTTTTTAAATTTATTTATACCTTATAATATACAGAAGATTTTCCAAAAAGTTTTGGAGTGGGTCGACGCGTTTAATGAGTTGTACAAAATTTTCAAAAATCACGTGCAAGGTGCCCATATATTAAATTTTGCTAGAAAATTTTATGTCTGTTTAGAAATAGTTTTATCCTTCATCTAATTTTCAACAATTTAAATTTTATTCTTTAGTAAATTTTTAAATATTCCTTATTGTAGTTTGCATTTGAAAATTTAGTTACTGTTTACTTTTAAAAATAAGTATTTAATTTACATTTTTCCTGAAAACAAACAACTTTTTTGAAGCAAACTTTTTTGCATTTAATTCATCAATTCAATATTAACAAACTAATTTTTCAGTTTTTCTTTAAACTGGATATTTTTTTAACAATTAATTTTAAAAGAAAATATGGGCATTTGACGTAACCCCAAAATGGTCCACTTTTACTTATTTTTCTCACTAATCTGTAGGTTTATCTTCATAAATTGTATTTCCACTGGTAAAGCAAAATAATATCTCGAAAAGGTTTTTTTTAGATTTTTTTATATGACCAGGAAAATTTTTAAATGTTTTATTTTTGTTTCCTGCAAATTCATGAAATTGTGGCTTGACCCCTTTTGTCATGCCACCCTTCATATACCTTTATTGGTCTTTTTAGATAATTTTTCTGATTTTACAAGTAAAGGACGGTTCCACAACTGTCCCCACATAAAAAGTCGTATTTGAAAGTATTGAAAATTTTTAATTTTCTAAAAAAACTCTTTATAAAAAAGTTATAGAGGTTGAAAAAGGAATATTTTTATAAAGTCCTTATTTTATATAATCATTAGTTTCTTCCATGAAAATCGAAAAAAATTATTTTTACAAAGTGCTGGTATCTGGATATTTCTTGTCAATTCTGGTTATACAATATCAATATATGTTTGCACAATTTGATAATGAGTCTTGCACACTTACACCAGATTTAAATTTATTAAAATACATTTCAATTATATTTTTTGAATTAATATTTTCAAAATCATTATACATTTTACATGTACTTTACGCATAATTACTTCATTTAAAATTTTCTTTTAAACATCAGAGTTTTTATAAACATATCAATAAATTTCATTGGTTCTCTAATATATTATTTTAAACCGTATTTCCTGCAAAAAATTTCATAACTTCTTTTAAGCATAGGCCATTATTTCTTTTTAAGTATGACCATGTTCAACCGGTAATTGGAAAATTCTATGAATTGTTAACCCTTTAACGCCCAAATGTGCTGATTTTTAACTTTGGTTTCAAGCTCATAATATTAAAAGAAAAAAAATTATTAAAAAATCTACAAGGACAATCCTTACGTTTCTGGGGTCGCTCTTTCGAATGGCATGGTCAAAATTTACAAAAAGTGACGTTTAACCCTTATTTTTTTAAAAATACTCAAAAAATACTAGATTTTGTAAAGTAATTTTTTTTCAGATCCAATTTTAGTTGTCATATCGATTTTTCCAAGTCATCTAAGGTATAAAAAACGTGTTCCCGATAGTTTTTGTTTGAAAATATGCTTTGCGTTTTAAGATTTTTGGTATTTTTTGATTTAAAATGGCGCCTGAAAATAAACAATTTTTCAAAATTTAACACAGGATGGCTACAATTTTCAAAAGTTCATGAAATCGCTTGAAATTTGTTACTCGGGGGTTTTCGTGGTCGCTGATTACGAATCTAAAATCAAATTTAAAAAATTCAAAATAGCGGATTCAATATGGCGGACGACAATATTAAAAATTCATTGTATTGGCTTCAAATTTGTTACTCGGGGTTTTTTGGGGCCGCTAATTACGAATCTGAAGACAGTTTTAAAAAATCCAAAATGGCGGATACAATAGGGCGGACGACAATATTAAACAAGTTGTCAATCCAGATATTCATTACATGAACATTTTGCTTCCTCTTTACGATCAGCAAAAAAAATTTGCTTCCTCGTGAAGGAAGCATTAACGATAAATATATTTCATTTTTAAATCATTTTTCATACAATTTAACATTTATAAAATAAAGTTCATTCGTCTTAAGAGAAAAAACAAAATTTTCTTATACAGTAATATGAGTCTAAATAAACAAAAAAATTTTTAGTCAAAAAGTGAATTTTTCAACTTTAATTGTAATTAGTTCTATAATTTTCAATAGAATATATACTTTATATATATATCAATCGATTCGTCTTGATGCAAAGAATAAGATTTTTGATTTATTTTTCAATAAATAATAACATTCTATTGTACAGCAACATGATTTTTAAGAAAAAATAAATTTTTATTAAAAGTGCAAATTTTTTGTCTATAATTGGTTTTAATTCTATAAATTTAAGTAAAATATATACTTTATATATACCAATCGATCCGTCTTGGCGTAAAGAATAAGATTTTAGAAATAAATGAGTAAGATTTTCTTATACAGCAACATAATTTTGCAGAAAGAACTCAATTTTTGATAAAAATGCGAATTTTTCAGCTTTAATCTATAAATTCTCATACAATTTATACTTTTTATATACCAATCGATTCGTCTTGATGCAAAGAATAAAATTTTATTATATATTAACTTCAATAACCAATTTAAAAAAATTTAAAAAAAAAAAAATTTTTTAGAAAAAAGTCCAAAAAAATTTTTTTTCTGAGAATTTTTTAAAGTCTATCAATCCATTTCGAGATATTTTTATGATAAATATACCTGGTAAATTTTAGCCAAATTCGTTAAAACCTCTTCGAGTTATCGTGTTCACAAAAATCGGGATCCACACACACACACACATCCATACATACATCCGGACAATTGTTCAGGGTCTTATATAACATAGCCCTATATAGAAGAAAATTTGTTAAATGGATTTTTAAAAATTTTGTTAATTAAACGACTACAAAGCTTCCTCACGAGGAAGCAAAAATTATCGTATTGTCTTCAAATTTAATACTCGGGGATTTTTGGGCTCGCTAAAAAGAATCTGAAGAAAGATTAACCCTTTCAGGGGCGGTGGGACGTATACGTCCCACCTTTAAAAACCTCAATATCTTTGACGAAAATTAATATTTTTAAGACAAATTTAGTGCGTTCTCTTCAGGAAGAATTGGGCTTTAAAAAGATGTAACCTAGATCATCCCAGTGAGAAATTTCTTACCGGTCCAATATCGGTCCAATATTGGGAGCCAAGAGACCAATCATCGGTCCAATAAAGGCTCCCAATATTGGACCAATATGGGCTGATGCTTGGGATGTAACGGGTTCGCCAAGCATCGGTTGTTAATATTGGTCCAATATTGGCCGAATATTGGCAACCAAGAGAAAAAAATTTTTTTAAATAAATTTTTTTAATTAAATAATAATAATAAAAAATTAATGTTTATAATTTTTGTTTAATATATTTATTTGTTTAATTATTTATTTTTAATAATTCATGTAAATAATAAATAATTTATTATTTATAGATTATAATTATTTAAAAATGCAGCAACTATTAGGAAATAATCGAAATAGCATTCTGCAAAAAATTCTATCATTGAAAAATCAATGATAGGCGAGAGATATCCGCGTCATTAAATAGATTCGCAGATATACTCTGGTCTCACGACGAATCTCTCGATACTTATATACACTGGAGTCGCCGTGTCAGTTGCGAGAACGGTTACAGCGTCCCTCTTGCGGCAGAGATAAGAATTTTCACGTAAACTGCGGGTATAATAAGGTGGTCGGTAAAGCGATTTAGCAGTTTACGTGACAATTCTTATCTCTGCCGCAAGAGGGACGCTGTAACCGTTCTCGCAACTGACACGGCGACTCCAGTGTATATAAGTATCGAGAGTTTCGTCGCGAGACCAGAGTATATCTGCGAATCTGTTTAATGACGCGGATATCTCTTGCCTATCATCTGCGAATCTATTTAATGACGCAGATATCTCTCGCCTATCATTGATTTTTCAATGATAGAATTTTTTTGCAGAATGCTATTTCCTAATAGCTGCTGCATTTTTAAATAATTATAATTTATAAATAATAAATTATTTATTATTTACATGAATTATTAAAAATAAATAATTAAACAAATAAATATATTCAACAAAAATTATAAACATTAATTTTTTATTATTATTATTTAATTAAAAAAATTTATTTAAAAAAATTTTTTCTCTTGGTTGCCAATATTCGGCCAATATTGGACCAATATTAACAACCGATGCTTGGCGAACCCGTTACATCCCAAGCATCAGCCCATATTGGTCCAAT